TACTTAGATTTATCTTGAATATGAAAAGAATACATATTAGATTGAAAAGTATCAAAAAATATTAGAATCTTAGAATGAACAAACAAGTATGAAAATTCACAAAATATTAATAAAGCATTAACTTAAGAAATATCAGAGCTCGCAATCAAAATGAGAAATTAACAGAAAAGATTTATTACTATGTTTCAAAAAATTGGCTAAATTTAGTAATGTTTATATTTTTAATTAATAAGATTAAGAAGTTTTTTTAATTTAATAATAAGAAAATAATAGTGAAATTTAAGATGATAATTTAACCTAACTTGAAGAGCTAATTTAAGATTAAATGGTAGAAGAAAAATATGAAAATTTTTATATGAAACTGAGATTAAGTTATTACTCTATTAGATTAAACTATAAATGAATAAACTGTGGTTTTTTAATCACTCAATTAATTAATATTAAATCATAGTCTAATTTTGGATAGAATCAATGAAAATATAGAAAAAGCATATAAGTAAACTAAAAAACCAAATCTAGAATTAAAAGAAGTATTTTAAAATAAATATAGAAGAGTGAAAAAAATAAAAATTCTCCATTTGCCAAAAGTTTATAATTACTATAAATCGTACTTATTGTTTTTTGTAGCATGCTTTTAGTTGTTAAATACACAAGTTGATATTAATAATATAAAACTTAACTAAAATCAATAAAAAATTTCTATTCTTAAATTAATTTATTTATTGACAATCTTTTGTATAGAAAACATGATTTTTCAGATAACTCATTATCATTATTAGTATAATTAATTTAAATTATTTCAATTATTAAGCTTGTTTGTATTTTTGACATAAGTTGCAATTAAGTTATACACAATATTGTATAAGTATTTTTGTGATATTATAAGAATTATTGGCTAAACATTAATCTACATTTGTTCTCAAATAATAATCAAGTTAAAAGAGTATTTTAGTAAACTTTGGTATTATTCTCATTCAATATTAAATTGATTGATCAAATGTAAAATTAAAAGAAATTTACCCTAGATGATAAAAATACTTTCTAAGTATAATAGGGAATTATTTAGTTGAAAATAAATACTAGAAAGTAAAGTTATAAATATTAATTATATATTGAATTTAAAGTATGAAGATACATTTTAAATAATAAGATTTAACAATGAACTTTACAAATGAAATATGTTGAATAATTAAAACAAAATAAATTACTGCGTTTTTTCGGTTTTGAATAGTTATTTTTTATTCCTAAATAATTATAAAAATTATATATAATATCAATTAATGAAAAATAATATATCTAAGCAATTTTTGACATTTTACTGTGAATACTATAGAGTATTTAGAAATAATAAATTTCAATAATCAGAAATCTAAGTTTAAAAGATTAGGATCTGATTTATGTTTGATGGATACCATGACAGGGATTCTTTAAATGTTTTCATCTGGAGGGATTTCTTCAATTTATTTAGAGATGTATTCTAAAATAGTGAGTGCTTCTTTAGCAGTAATTCTTTTTGATGGTTTATCTTCAAGCATTTTAGATAATAAATGGTGAAAGTAATAATGAATATTTCTGAAATTGTAATCAGCTTTATTATACATTTTATTATTTAAATAAATTTCTGATTTAGTTTCTCCTTCAAATAAATATTTATGAGTGAGTCTATATAATATTAAATAAATATTACAATTAATATAGGATTACTCCACAACTGAAAATATCACTTTTAGTATCATATGGAGTGGACCCATCATTATTTATTATTTCTGGAGCAACATAGCCATTAGTTCCACAAACCTTATACACAATATTTGAATCATTAAGATTTGCAGCAAGCCCAAAGTCAATTAATTTAATGAGTACTTTTGTTATTGAATTTAGTACTTTGATCATCTAAGTGTTATAATATGATGTTTTCTGGTTTAATGTCTCTATGTATAATGTTTTTTTAGTGAAGATAATCAATAGCTTATAATAATTGCTTTTTTATTAATAATTATTACTTTAAAAATTCGAATAATTTCTTCCTCACTTAATTTAGCTCTTCGATATAAATATTATTTCAAAGTATCTCCATTAGGTAATTCCATCAATAAATAAAAATTTCTTTTTGTTTTACAGATTCCCACAAGTTTTACTATGTTTTGATGATTTATTAAAGAATGTATATAAATCTCATTCATTATATCCTAAATTCAAAAAGTATAATACTTGTTCAGAAAAGTTGTTATTTGATTGTATACACTTACATGCGTACATATTTTTATTTTGGTAACTTACTACTTTCAAGACCTTAAATATTGAATATGAAAATTACAGTACTATAACTTCCTTTACCAATTACATAAATAGGTTTATAAAATTTGTATAAGTTTGAAAAGAAGATTTATGATTTGACAATGTCTTAAAATACATGACAATCTAATGAGTTCATCTCAAATTAAATGAGTTTTTTATTATAGATAAACTCAAATCCTATTAATTAGTTGTCATCTAAGTTCCAATTTACTTCAATATCTGAGTAAAAGGGAATTGAATATTTGACTATGTTGGTTCTCTTAGATTAATGGAATGAATTACATCTGATATGATAATCTCATTTGTTTTTATTCCAATTTTATAAATGCTATTGAAAAGTTTACGCCTTCTTTTGCATACAAATTGCATAAAATACAAATTTAATAATTGTGTACATGAAACTTTAAGAAATTTCAGTATTGTAAGAATGAATGATTTGCATTAAATGAGAACATAAAAATATATATTGAAATCAATATCAACCTTCAAGTCTTTTCAAAGTTTAAATTGAAACTGTCTTAATCTATTGAATTTCTGAATCTAAAACGTCAACTTCAAAAGCATCTTTTTTGTTATTAACTATCTATTCTAACATTTCTAAAGCTTAAGTTGCAGTTAATCTTGCATTAGGATTTTCTCTTAACATTCCTTTAAGTAGATGTTCAAATTCATTGTTATCGAATTATTCTTATTCTAAACAAAATTATTGATTTTAATAGTACACTTCACTATAAAATGATCCATCAAATAGATCTACTCCATATAATCTAATTATAATTATTTATATACATTTTATGTAATAGTACTCCACAACTAAAAATATCACATAATTCATCATATGGATGATGAGGATCGAAATTAATAACTTCTGGAGCTATGTATCCTGGAGTTCCACAATTTGGATATCTAGTAGCCACATCTTCCTTTTTTGCAGTTAAACCAAAATCAATCAAATAAAGTTTAGATGGATTGCGATATTAACTTAATAAAATATTCTCTGGTTTTATATCTCGATGTACATATCCTTTCGAATGTAAATATTAAATTATATTTAATATTTACTAAAATTATTAAATTAGGTACTTTCATAATTATATAAACTTCGAATTGAGTTATTTCAGTTAATTTCTCTAAATATTCCTTCAAAGTTCCTCCCTCTATTAAATTAGTTATTAACCAGATCTATTTGTCCTCTAGATAGACTTCTTTCACTTTTATTATATTTGGATGATCTAATGACTAAAGAATAGAAAGTTCGTTTTTAAAATCCTATGAATTAATATAAAAATTAGATACATCAAATTAAGATAATTTAAGCACTTTGCAAGCGTAGAACTCTCTCTCTAAGGTGTTGAATACTTTGATAACCTAATACATAACATTTAAATTATACTTTACTAAAACTTCCAACACCGATAATATATTAAAATTGATAGAAAGCCTATATATTTTTGTAAAGAAATCTTCCATTTAAAGCTTGCATCAATTACAAACTCTATTGATGACTCATATCAAACCATTTCTTCTTTCCATTTATTGTTATCTCAAATCCTTATAGCTATTAATTCTCTCTTAAACACCAAGTTATTATACTTTCAATACTGTATGGTATACGATATTTTGGATTGTTTTAAGACTATCTTTTAAATATAAATATACTTTTCCAATCATTAACAGATTGTCTTAGTTAAAGATTGCATATTTTTGGTTTAAAAAAGTGTGATGTCTCACACAAATCATTCTAGATGGATATATTTTAATTAATGAATTATTTAAATAAAGCTAAATGCTTCTAAATATCTTTTAAGAATTATTTATAAAGCAATTCTCATTGTTTGAATTTCAAGGTCAGTCAAAAATATCATGTATGCGACATCAATATTTTTTGTTCTTATTCTAAATTAAAGAATCGTAGTAATAAAATACCAATTTGATTTCATTATTTATATAGGTATCAAAATTAATATGCATTATTAGTTAACATTAGAGATTAACAATTATTTATAAAATTAATAAATATAAAAGAAACTCATTCTTATATTTCCTGCTGTCTTTCAGGTACTTAATATTCATTTTAATCTGGTGGAATTTCTATTTAAATATTTTCAGCTATTTATTGTTATTATTATGGTGCTTCAAAAACTTATTAATTATGATTTTAATTAATTAATTGATTAATTATTTATTATCTACAATTAGGACAAGAGTTCTTAATTCTAATCCAAGGTTTTAAACATTCAGAATGGAAAATATGAGAACAATTTAATTTCATGACCATTTCATTCTTTTATAAATTCATATCGCATATTGAACAAACAAATTCATTCTCCATCTTAAATTTTAGCACTGGTAATATTTCAATTTATTCTTCACTTATAATTTATGCTGACTATCTAATGTAAGGATCTCTTGGAGGTAATAAATTTAAAGCACTAAGAATATCAGGTGGTTAATTTTAAGTTTAATTTAAATATTATTCTCTTGCTCTAACAAAACCAATTACACATTATTAAATCATTCTAATCAAGAATATTATTGTTATAACTACTAAGATTATCTAACAACCTTTTTACTAATCCTCTTCTAAACTTTTAATTGAGTTTGCTGAAGAATAGAGCAATTTAGTAGTAGTAATAATCAAAAATATTTTAATCAAGATTCCCAATTTAGTTATTGAATAAAATAAGTATAGTAAAGTGAAAATTATCAATTAACATAAAGTTTGATTTGGTTCTGGTAATTTATCAAAATGAGTTACTAAAAAGTAGCCTATCATTTTTATTTTTATATATTTACTTAATACTATGAATAAACATACCACATAATATAGGACTTCATATGCACATCGAAATATTCCCTCTCTTTCAAACATAAATTCATTTGGAATCAAGGATCTTCTCTTTAATAGATCATTTGAGAATAATACAAAAAGAACCGATTAAATATAATATGCTGCTATAAAATGGAGAGATTAACTATTTTTAAAACTTACTGATTCTGAATCCACAATTGTTATTATATTAAATGCTATTAGAAATGCCTAATTATCAAGTTCTATACCAAATTTATTATTATTAATGCATAATATTCTTTGTAGCAGTTCTGTCTAATATAACGACCAATCATTCCCAAAGATGTGATTTGTACTCGAGTTTTCATTAGAATGAATAAAATTATTGCAACCAATAATTCTGTAAATCCTAATATTAATCCATACACAAAAGCCAACTATTCATAATAAGGTTTCTCATATTTAAAAATGTAATCTTTACATTATCTATTTTCTTCCAGAATATATAGAAATATAGCCCAGCTGATATGAAAGCTACTTAAAATACGCATAATAGCATTTTTATTTAGTTTTGCGTCATATATTTTAATTTATATTTATCACTGAGAATAATAAGGTACTTATCTTGAATTAACAGAAATGTATAATTATTTTTAAAACAAGAAAGGAATTTGAATCTTTTAAATTAAAACTAATTAACTTTTGTTAGAATAAAGTTCTTAACATTTGTAAGAATTAAGATTAATTATAAAAAATTTAAATTATATTTTTGTTTCAATTCTATATTTAAAATAATATAAAAATGAATATTTATTATTTAAATTAAAATTAATGATATCAAGTTAATCATTACAATACCGCTTTGGATCTGAACCTATAAATGGTATTATCAAGAGTTTAAATTTACCTATCTAAATTCAATTTGTAGAAGAAATTTGCATCTTCGAATAATTAATCAAATTAGTTTAGATTTCAGAAAAACTTGAAAATTTTAGCAAATATTTTACGAATTCATTTACTTTATTAGAATCGCTCAAACCATTTTATTAAACCATATAAAAGTCTTTAAATTAAGGAATTGATGTGAAAAACGATGTTTTGGAACATTGTATAAATATGCAGAATTTAATTATCAAAAATCAATTAAAATATTTAGAAAATGAGAAATTATTGTCTGTTTCAGACATGCTATTAGTAGAATTATTAGAAGTTGTTAATAATATGTATCCAAATTTACTTTATAATAATTTTTAAATATTATATCAATATTTAGCAAAAGTTTTATCAAACAACTTTTTGTAAAACTACTATTTTAATGTTGAATTCATGATGAAGGATTTCTCACCAAAAATTAAGAATGCTCAAAATATTTTGAAAGGGATTATTGAGTGTAATTTACCAACTTTTCATGATTTTGCTTAATGTTAAGGAATATTGTATAGATATAAGGAGGATGGATAATAGTTTCCAGATAATTGTCCAGTTAGTTTATTTCCTTTATATGTATAATAATAAATAATATAATAAATAGATAAATTATGATATTATTGATGATTTAAAAAAGAAAACTATTTTATAGTAAAAAGTAGTTGCTAAAATGGGTATGGATTTCGAATGGTACACTAGTATTTTGGGAAGATTAGCTAAACATGATGAATTTATTAGAAGAATGATATAAATATAGGCTAAAGTTGAAAAATCAGAAACAAAATGTCCCTATACAATTTGTATTGTTCGAAATGATTTTTTACACAATGCTTCTTAAAATTAATGGATGCAAGTAGAATATAATTGTATAGCCATAAGTTTTGGATTCATTTCTGATAGAGTTTAGAAATATCATTCTCTATTATTTGATTCTTATTATAAATAAATAAAAGAGAATTATAAAATAAAAGTGAAATAAGATTTAAATCATGACATAATGGTAGATGCATTACATAAAGCTTATCAATTATATAATAATAAAAATGCAATTGTTTTAATAATAACAGCAGAATTTGAAGGGAATGTTTATGATCAGAGATACATAGAAAAGGGATTAGCAAAATTAGGAATTTTAAGCAAAAGGACTACTTTTATTAAATTAATTGGTAATATCATTTCAGAGAATGGAATTCTAAAAGCATTTGGATAAGAAATAGCATTAGTTTATTTTAGAACAGGTTATACTTTTGATTAATATGAAAATGAAGTATGAAAACGTTATAATAAATTTTAGGAATGTTGGAATATCAGAGAAATGATTGAATTAAGTAAAGCTCTTAAATGTCCAAGTTTGAATACATAATTAGTAAATTTTAAGAAACTTTAATAAATTTTATTGGATGAAACTTAAATTTAGAAGTTTATAACAAAAGATGAATCTCAATTAATAAGTGAGAACTTTTGTAAAATATGGGGTTTTGATCATGAGGATTAACACGATAAGGTAATTTAATAGGTTTAATAATTTAGTTAATAGAAATGATTAAATAGAATCCTTATGATTATGTACTAAAACCATAAAGAGAAGGCGGAGGAAATAATTATTATGATGATTAAATTATACCTGAATTATTAAAATTAAGTCCTGAATAAAGAACAGAGTTTATTGTTATGGAAAGAATCAAACCTATTCCACGTATTGGATTTATGATGAGAAGAGGATAATTAGATATTTAAGCTGTAATAAGTGAAATAAGTGTTATTGGATATTTTATAAATGAAGGAGAAAATATATTAGTGAATGAAGTTGGAGGATATTTAGTTAGGACAAAGAGATATTTAGATAATGAAGGAGGAGTAGCTGCAGGTTATGCAGTTGTTGATTCATTTATGATATCAGATAATTGATAAATTTATATATTTTAAAATATTTGATTTTATTTAAAATTATATTATTATTCATAAAGATCACAATAATTCTGTCAAAAGAGTTTCGAAAGTTTTAAAATTTAACTAAATATATTATTTAAAATATTACATGAGGATGATCATATTAATTAAAAGCTTCTTATAATTCATTTTCTCTAGACTTGTATATATTTACTAAAGTTTATTAAAGCAAGTACTTTTTGACTGTTGCATATAGATTAAAAATAGTTTCAATATTTTAAGAAGTTAATAATTAGGTGCGATCAGCTGAAATGACTAAAAATTCTTAAAAATCCATCTTGTCTTTTAGAGAAAGTAAATCAAAAAGAGAATTGATTTACTACTCTTTATCAGGATATAAAGCCATACATTCATTCTTTGAGATTTTCCCATCATAATCTCCGTCAAGATTTTAAAACACTTTTTATAATTTTATCTTTTATTCTTCAAATTAATTAATAAATAACAATAATAGACATTATTGTAAAACACTTATTTTTTTTAAACCTTTATTTCGTTGTAATATTTAATCAAATTCTTAAATTTCAAAAGTTTTAGGAAAGAATTAATCTTTTAATGCTTCTTAAAGTGGTATTCTTTTTTCAGGAGTAATATGTAAAAACTTTTCTAAAAATTCTTTGTCTATAGAATTATCAATATGTAAATGTTTCCTAATTCTCACTTATTCTATTTCTTTAATAATATCTTCAGCATTTGTTGCTTTAAAATATCTACCTTATATAATATTATGAGCTATCATTCCAACTGCCCAAATATCTCTTTCTTTTGTATAAATAGTTTAATTAAGTGTACATTCTGGAGCATAATATTCAGTATCATTATTTGTGGGTTCATGTCTTATAAAAATACTCTAAATATCTACTAATTTAACTAATTCATTATTTCTTTCGAAAGCACCAAGCCATAATGCTCCATGTATTAAATTTTTACTATGCAAATAACAAACTATTTCTATTATTTATTTTATTATGACTTTTTATCTTTCAATAGGTTCGGAAAATGTAATTGGAACTCCCTAAGCGCATTCTTTGATAATTATATATTAAGATTTGTCCTCTAAAATTTCTATAACATTTGTTATATTTGGATGTTACTAAGCATATAAATATGATATTATTACCAATTGACATCGTAATAATTCATCAACATATTATTGAGTCTCTTTTGTGCTTTCTAAAATATCAGCATAGTGCAACTTACCTGTCATATTATGTTGAACAAGTATACTACCTCCAGCCATTTTAGAAAAGCTACTCTTCTTGTTTTATTAAACTGAATAAAACTTAGAGAAGGCTATCTTCTTTACTGTAGCATTCATTTTAAAAGTTGTTTTATGTTTAGTTGTTCTTACTTAATCTTATTCTATACTTTTTAGATCAACCATAGGAGTTGAAAGTCTACTTTTTAAAGCTGAATCACTTGATGAATTATTGAATTGAAATTGTTAACTTTTTAAAGTATGTCTTTAAGAACTTTAAGGTGTCTTTTTTTCTAAACATGCACTTTTAGACTAAGAATTAGTTGTTTTTTTGGATTGATCAAGATTATTAGTATTAGGAATTTGAATTTCAAGATTTGGTTTGTTTTATTGAGTTTTTTTAGTTCCTTAGCAAGTTCCCATTAATATTATTATTTTAAGAAAGCAGGATAATAAATATCTTATATAAAAGAAAAATAGATATGAAGTTAAATTTGAAAGAAAGAAGATAAATTGAGAAATCAGAGTTTATTTTTACAGTATATTTGTGGGTTATAATATTAAAAATAATACCAAAAATTAATATTAATGATTTATATATAAATAATAAAAATATCAAGATGAATTATAATACACAACAATTCACCATTTTTGTATGATTTTTCTAATATGATCATGTTCTTTAACTTTTTTTTCAAGAAGAGCTTTAGCAAGTTCCATAAGATGAAAATATTATTAGAAATTAAATTCTGGATGTTTATTTTTAACTAATTTAACAGCCCAACTATCAAATAAGAGTAAGACATCAGAAATATCACTAATGGCAAAAGTATTTGTGTATAGATTCCGATTTTTAGGTTCTCCTGGAAATGCTAAAATTAAATGAAGAAGAGTGACTCCTAATGCATAAAATTCATCCATTTTATCATATTCCTTATTTATTTAAGAATTCGCTGTAGCATAACCACTAGTACCAGAATTAATTGTATTTCTTGATTTAATTGAGTTTAAATCTTTATCATTTAATTTTTCATCTGTAATAATAGATAATTTTGATTCTCTTACATCTTTTCCTTAATCAAAATCAGCCAACATAACTTACAATTAACAATCAATACCATAAGTTACAAATATATTTTCAGGTTTTAAATCTCTGTGTACGATTCCTCTTTTATGAATATATTCAAGTCCATCCATAATTTATAACATTATTGTTTTTATTTATTCTATCTTTTCTTTACAATTCATTGGATTTAAATAATAATAAGCATAATTAAGTAAATCATTTGTTTAATGTTTAAGTCCTGGATATGAACAAAATTCAGACATTAGATAAAGTGAATAACCACATTCTTCCTCTTCAATCCACCAATCATAGAGAGTTAAAACATTAGGATGATTTAATTTAGATAATATTTTAGCCTCACGAATTTTCCTTTAATCATTTGTAATTTCTGAAAGATTTACTGTTGAAAATACATCAAAAAAGGAAATTACATCAGAAGCCAATTTTGACTATAAAATATTATTATTTGTATAATACTTTTTTCACAGCATATATTTAATCATCTTTAATTCGATATACAAAAAATATTTAAACTCCTGATTTTAAATCATTCTCATTTGTTTTTTAAAGAATTAAGAATTGTTTTTTAAAATAATCTTTCTTAATAAATTCTTATTTTAACCAATTACTTTAATGACAAAGAGGCAGACTTTTTTTTAACTAATTTTCAACTTCACCTTCATTCTATGATAAAGTTTTTGAACCTGCACTACTTTGTATAAATTACTCTTTTTCTGATTTTTATTTAGTTAAAATAGGAGATGTGAATTCTGGACTAGATTTACTAGATTTATTTCTTTCATCTATTGAAAAATAATTTGCTATAATTTTTAGATCCTCTTTATTAAAATTCATATTTATTTATCGATTGTCTAAATTACTTGCAATAGATATATGAACATAAATGAAAACTGTTGATTTTAATTACCCTGTTGATGTAATAAAACCAATATTCATATCTGAATAGAATAGTCTCATCAATCTTTATTGTTCTCTCTAATATTGTAATCATACATACTTGCCATTGTTCTTTGTCTTAAATTTTTTAAGCTTTTATTAGAATCTTTTAAACTCCTTTGTATACAGCTTTTTCCATCAAAAATTAAAGATGTGGGTCTTATTCATTTATATATTTATCCTTTCTGATCTAACATATAACAATGAACTCTGAAAACATACTTTTCTCTTCTGAACTTAAAAATTCCTACTTATTTCGATTTTCTAATTCCTAATTTCCATTTATATTCAATCTTACCAACAAGGCTTCTAATCCTCCTTATTCCCATCTATCAACAACTGTATTAGAGAATCGCTTATCATCATCTGTCTATTCATTAATAAATGTTTGATCTTCATCAGTTAATCTATGATCATCTTCTTATTTGTTAACATTCTCTCCTTAATTCATTCAATTATAATTTAAATTATTGTAATAAAATAATAATTTAGAACTCTACATTGGGATCTTCATCTATATATTCATTTTATAGTTTTATGATATTATCGATTTAATAAATATTGCAAATCGAAAAAAAAAGACTTTTATCCTTTTTTCTAGTTGAGAGATATCAGAGAATGAGAGAAACTACAAATATCAATATATTTACTATTGTTCTTATTTATTTATATTAAATCTAGAATCTTTGAATAGAGAAATTAATGAAAATAAAGTGATTTTATGTTATTATTATTTATTTATTAGATAAGTATTCTAATTAAGATTATTTGGTGATTCTAAACAATATATATAATAAAAATGTTTAAAATTAATATATTTATTATAAAATCTGTAATATTATAATATATATTAGTATCTTATATTTATAATAATTTATTTTTTTATTATTATAAACATTTTTATATATAAAGATACATACATCTTTCTGGGTATTTAAATGAAATTCAATCAATGTCGCATTGATTTCTAAAGATATTATAATCTTATAATGCGTTTAAGATATGATAATTTTTGTCTAATATAGATATTATGATGATTAATAAGGAGATTAGATTTGAATTTTAATATTAATAATAATATAATCGAATGGCTAGCAAAGTATCAGGAATGTTTTGGACTTGGGTGCATTCATCAACAGGACCTAAAACTACACATTTTTGGGCTCCAGTCTGCAATTGGTTTTTCCCAATTCAAGCCTTGTATGATTGGAATAGAGATCCTGCTAAAATTAGCAAGGAAATGTAATGTGTTTTAGTTTGTAAGAATTTATGAATATATTAGGTTATTCATCATTGTTTATGAGATGGGCATTAAGAATATCTCCACAAAGCTATATTCTGTTTTGCATGCATTTGTTTAATGCAACTTTATAGGGAAGATTATTATTAAGAAGATTAATGTGGGAATCAAGTTAATAGAAAGCCATCGAAGACAAACCAACTAATTGATTGTCTATATAGAGAAATTCATATATATATAAATAAATATATAAAAATAAATGCAAACTGATTTAGACAAATCGATAGAGAAATTGAAGAATGGAGAGTTATTAAAAGAGAAAGATGTGAAACAATTATGTGCTAAAATAAGAGAAATATTCATTGAAGAAGGAAATGTATAAAGAATAGATCCTCCAGTTATTGTTGTAGGAGATATACATGGATAATTATATGATTTATTTGAAGTTTTTAAATAATCAGGAGAAGTTGGAGATTAAAATTATCTATTCTTAGGAGATTATGTGAATAGAGGATTTCATAGTATAGAATCTATTTGTTTACTTTATTCATTAAAAATAAAGAATCCAGATAAAATTACTTTATTAAGAGGGAATCATGAATCACGTATTCTAACATAAACATTTGGATTATATGATGAAGCAATGAGAAAATATGGTTCTTTAAATATTTGGAGATATTTAACTGAATCATTTGATTATATGCCATTATCAGCATTAATTGATGAAAAAGTATGGTGTGTACATGGTGGTATAGCTTAAGATGCTAAATTATTAGATGATGTATAATAATATCATTATATTTTAGGTGAGAGCATTAAATAGATTATCTGAAATTCCTGATAATGGTGAAATGTGTGAACTTTTATGGAATGATCCAAATGAATAAGAATTAAAAGGTTATGGAGAAAGCAAAAGAGGAGTAGGTAAAGAATTTGGTTAAGATGTTTTTGCTTAATTCTTACAAACCAATAATTTAAGTTGTGTTCTTAGAGCACATTAAGTTATTATGGAGGGATATAGAAGTATATTCAAAGATTAACTTAAAACTATCTTCTCTGCTCCTAATTATTGTTATAGATGTGGTAATTCAGGAGCTGTTTGTGAAGTTAGTGATAAATTAGAAATGAGAGCTAAAATATTTTAAGCAAGTGAAAATTAAATGAAGAATGCTTAAACTAAAATTTGGAATTAAAATCCAGATTATTTTTTATGATTTCTGAATTCTATCAATTAATATATAATGTCTAAAACATAAAAACTTTTAATACTTTATTTATCTAAATTAATAATTCTACATCATCTCAATGATCAATTCACTACCAAATATAGATTTCATAAAAAAATAGATTAATAATAGTATTCCAATTTATAGAAATTTTCTAGAGATATTATTAATAAAGTTATCAAAAGAATTAAAAAATCAGATAACTTTTAAATCCCATCCGAAAAGTAAAAATATCTATTGGCACATCTGGCTTTTCTTATTATAAAAAATTATATTATCTAGACATCATTATTTATACAATGAATTATTTTTTATGATGTTTCATCAATTGGATTAAGGGATTTGATGATGGTGAATTAGGACTATTGTAAATGAGATAATTCTATGTATTTTATTTATTTAATTTAACTAATGTTTTATATTATTTTAGTAATAATAAACTTACTTTATGCTAGAAGAATAAATCAATTAGGTTATTTATTAACAAGAGACAAATTACCAGTTGGAGCCATTTTAACAATATCTTATGATGGATATTAAGTAGTTTGTAATGAGAAAGGAGAATTTCCCTTAAAGTAGGAGAAATTTATTGTTGATGTGTTAGGTTTATTTAAATAGACCTTTTATCCATCTCCATTATAAAAATAATTCATTATTGATAATAACTAAACCACTATCATTTAAATATTTGGATTTATAAGTGAACCGGCGATTCTTACTTTACATGTGAATTAACCACTGAATTTAAAATAAAAAGAGTTTGAAATTAATGAAAAGTTCAATATTCAAACTGATATTATGAAATTATTGGTATATTAGGCTAAGGTGACAATATCTGCAGATTCTTTCAAAAATAATACATAGGTTATCTATCTCTATGGATCATATTAGTATGATTTTGGAAGTATAGAACTAGTTCCTTCAGAAATCGATGTAAAATTAAAATTTAATTACAAATTTGATACATAATGTTATTTAATGTGCACAAAGTTTAATGGAAAATTATATGTGTTATAGAATTATACATAAAGGGATTAAATAGAATTTAATGGAAAATTATTTGATGAATGGCCTTAATAGTGTTTATTATATTCTGATAAAGGGGAAGGGGAATTGATAGAATTAGATGGGCCAATATCAGATTTGGTCAGGAGAAAATGATGAATAATAATAGAAGTTATAATATATTAATAATAATAAAAAAAAAATGATGACTGGTAATATAAACCCAGAATATCGATATATAAGTATTATTGCTAAAACTTGGAATGAAGTTTATTTGGCTGAAAATCTATAGACGAAACAAAAATGTTGTATAAAGCAAGTGTTGATCGATGAGTAATTGAAAGAGAGGTTTCAATAGGAAATATAGATCCTACAAAAAATAAAGGCTCATCCACATCCAAATATCATATCCTTTGAGGATAGCTTCTACTACGAGAAGGTAACAACGTAGGACAAAGTATTGATTTATCAATAAAATGCAGTCAATTACTTTCGGCTGTATTGTAATGGAATTGGGTATAACAAACTTATAACAATACATCTAATCAAAAAGATAATCAGATCCAGAGTTCCGATTCTAGGAGTATGAAGTAGCAGACTTTTTTGTGACAATGATTAGAGCACATTCACATCTTTAAGAAATTAAAATAGCTCATAGAGATATCAAACCAGAAAATATTATATTAATCAACGATGAAAATTTATTATTTAAAGTTTGCGATGTAGAACTTAGTATTTATTATATAGGTTGGTTTTGGTACTGAAATTTTTGACGAAGAATCAAGATCAAGAACTATTGGAGGAACTGTTGGATATTAATCACCTGAAGTTTATACAGCATTTAAAAGAAGAAAGCCTTAAGCTAAATATAATCCTTATAAAAGTGATGTATTCTCACTAGGATTAGTCTTTTTATTATTTTCTACTACTCAAACTATTACTAAACAGGTATAACAATATTCTTATATTTTAGTAAAGAGAAGAATTGTTTGATGATGAAATCAAACTCTTTAATTACTTAAAAGATTAAAGAAAGAAAGTTAAAGAATTATTTCCCAGAATCAAAGGGGTTTCTAAAATTCTAAAACTCATGTTAGAAATTTCTCCTGATTAAAGATTTGATTTCTCTCAATTAAGTCAAATTATTGAAGAAAGATCTTATTTAGAAGTTAAATCTGTAATTCATTTCTTTTAAATAGCCTGCTAAAATTAATCATAAGCATTTATAATCTATTTCTAAATTAGAAGATTTTTAATTGGATATTAAAAATAAAGAAGATGTTCATTTAGATTTGAATGGAATGTAAAATAGATCTTAAGATGAATTACTTAAATTCTTAGAGACCATTGCTCAACAAATTAAAAATTTTTAAATGATTACTTTATAAATAAAATTAGAAATGAGTTGTTTAAATGTTAGAACAGTTGCTCCAATCGAAAAAATTTTGAGTAGAGCACAAAAATTGAAAGAATTACAACTGCAACTTTGGAAGTACAACATTTTTTAAATAGATTTATAGTAATAAATTAGGAAACTTAGGATTGTTATTTTTAACAAAAGCAATAATGAAAATGATTGAATTAAAACGATTAACTTTAGAAATATCTAATAATTTACTTTCAGATGAAGGGATTAATAATGCATTACCTCTTTTAGAAGGATTAGTTTAAATGGAAGAGCTAAGATTAGATTTCGGATTGTATTAGTTCTAAATTAATTAAGAAATCATTTACCAATGGATTGTTGTGAAGCATTTTTTTCGGTTATAAATGCTATGCCTAAACTAAAAAAGCTTGATTTAAATCTAGAAAGTAATTACATGAATTAAGTACTTTCGAAATTATTAAATTAATCTTTGAAAAAATTACCACTCCTAACTCATTTAAGCATAAACTTTTCTAAGTATTATTAAAATCTAAATTTAGTAATCCAATGCATAATGAAGGTTTTTATGATCTAGGAGAGAGTATATCTGAATTAGAGAATTGTGAATTGATTCTTTGGGGTGCTCAAATAAAAGATTTAGGAGTTGAAGAATTTGCTAAAGGATTATAAAAATGTGAAAGACTAAAACATTTAAATTTAACTCTATGGAACAATCAAATTACAAAGAAAGGTTGCGAATCTCTTGGTTTTGTTTTACCAAAATTATCGAGATTAAGTACTTTAGTAATAGATTTATCCAAAAATCGTATAGAGGATGATGGAGTCAGATTTTTGGCTAAAGCTATACATGAGATGTAATAACCCTTAAGAGAATTAAAATTTTGGATTGAAAAGTAAACAAGTATATAATTTATTAATAGTGTGTCTTGTACTTCTTTTGGATTGAGATATGTGAATAGATTTTTATCAACATAAAAGAAATTGAGGAATATCAGTTTGAATTTTCGATCAAATTCTATTGGATTAGATGGAATGGAGTTACTATATAATGGTTTTGGTTAAGCTACTTAGTTAGAAATAGTTAATTTGATTCTTGATCAGTAAAAGTGTCATAAAAAATTAGTAATCCTTTAGGAGATGAAGGTGTCAACACTTTGTTTAAGGGTTTATGCAAGCTTAAAGAATTGCAAAAACTATTCCTAAGTCTTGAAAGCGTTCAAGGTTCTGGGAATTCTGTAACAGTGATGTTGTCTTCTATAAAGTCATGGACAGAACTCAAAGAGTTGCATGTCAATTTTTTAAAGTAAATTATTCATATCATTTCTATTAGAAACGATACTGATTGGGCTGATGATATCAATTTGAGAAACCGATTGTTAGAAGTCTAGTCTAATGCTAAAATAATTATTGAATTAAAAACTATAAATTAATAGATAAAGTGATTAATTATTTGATCTTAGGATATTTCAATCTATTTATTTATAATTAACGACATATATTTGAATTTTTTAATATGTATATTCAATATTAATTAATTAAATTTCAAAAGCACAGAAGATAAAGCAATGGTTTTTAAAATTTTATAAGTTTTTATTAGTCAAGAGGAGCACCAAAAAATTAAGTACTTTACGACGGAGATAAAAAAAATTCAATAAGAACCTATAATGGTATCTTTTATTAATAAAATATACTCAGATAACGTAAACAATAGATAAGGTTTTAAAATTGGATGGGATATTGATCAATCTAGAAAGGGTGATACAAAAATAGCAGGAAAAGTTGGTCAAGATCAAAGAAATTCATACATTCCTTCTTATTAGACACAAACCTATGTGCCAGTTGTTGAAGTATTCTATTACATAATTAGTAAACTCAAGATGATGATTACATGAAATAGTTATATTATTAAGAAATGAACAAAAAGCAAGAGCTAGCTGCTTTGTACAAGCAACCTGAACCATATTATTAGGATGCATTGGATAATTATAATAATGGAAAATAAAACCCAAATAATAATTATTCTAACGCTTATGAATAACCATAAATGTTATAATAATCAAACAAATATGATCATTATCAATAACCAAATGATGATGAAGAACTTTATTAAAAAGTATCTTTTTTTAAATTAAATAAAGTATAAATAAGGAAATAGTGGTAATAAATAATAGAATATTGGTAAACCACCATTAGCCTAATATAATCCTATTACAGGAGCTGCTTATGAAAATGCATATACTCAATAAAGAGCTTATGAACCATAACAATAATAATAACAATAATAGGATGATGCTCTTAGTTAATTTAGTTAATGTATCAAAATAGTTATAATATTGTAGTGTAATAACATAAAGTAACTTCAATGAAAAACAAAAGTTCAAATATTTTCAATACTGATCTTCAAGAGACTGAAAACATTAATAATAATAGACAAAATAGCAGAGGTTCAAATAAAAGAAAAGAATTAGATGATGCTCAATATAAAGGATATGGTATATCTTAGAAAAACTATTATGTTTTAGGTTAGTTTTACAAAAACCCAATTGAACCTGTCCAAAACCAATATAGAGAGCAGAAATTCGTAAATAGAAACATGATTGATAATCACATATTTCCAAAATGATTATATAATTTACATAATAATTATATAAATTAATTTAACACGTATAGTGTGTATATAAAATTGCAAAATGATTAAGTGAGAATTCAATATTAAATTTAAAATGAGTTAAGAAACTTTGAATGGAATCAATGGAATATTATAAGATGTTCAAAGTTTTGGTTAAGAGAGTTACAGATTTATTAGAAAATGTACCAAACCTGATAAAAGAGGTAAATAAATGTAAAATAGCAAATAGAGTATATTAAAATTGCAACATCCTGTGCTATTGGTTTTGCTGTTATGGGAGCTGTAGGATACTTTATTAAGTTGGTTTTCATTCCAATCAATAATATTATATTAAGTGCCAATTGATTTTGTTACATTTATATTTTATCATAAATATACGTAAAAATTAATTTGTTTTAAAATATTGAATAAAAGTGTATCAACCATTTTTTATAATAGACATGAATGTATTTCTATTAATTATGTTAATAAGAAATGATAATTATTATTAAGTTTTGAATAAATGATATGAATAGATTTTGTTGAAATATACTTATATTTGAACAAACAATAAATTTTTCACCAATGTGCTTCTTCTTTTAATTAAGCAACAGCATCATCTACTAACTCATTGAATTAATCTTCATTCTTAATCATATCGAGGATTTCCTCAATTGTATAATTAGATGGATCTGAAAGTACTTCACTGACTTTCTTCCAGTGAGGTTCTGTATCTTCATTCAATTTAGCTTTGATTCTATAAAACAACATCATTCTAGAAATAAATAATAAAATAAGATTACTATAGTTATTTGACTTATTCTTCTTCAGGTTTAGCTCTGAAAACTTCTAAATTATTTAATAAATCTAATAGATCCTACCTTTTATCGAAGGCAACAGCTTAAACTGGAGCTAATTCAGTAATCTATTAAACTGGTGGAGGTAATGGTGTTCTAATTGGATTAGGGAATTATTATTAATATGGTCTTCTATTTCCACCACCAGGAATTCTTTATTACATAGGAAATGGATATGGCATTCTACCACCAAATTAGGCTGGCCCTGGTGGCATTTAATACATTCTTCTAGTTGGAGACTATCTTAAATTAGTTCTTCTTTATCCTCCTCTTTATTAGGATTATTATGGGAAAAGATGTTAAAAGTATTTTCCACCAGCCTATTCTACATTTTAATCAAATAATTTCTTTATTTCATCAAATTTCTCATTCTCTTTAAATGATTTAATCAATTTATTTGCATCTGATGCTTATTCAAATACAATATAACCAATTCTAATTATTTATTAGAATCCTTATTACATCTTTTCCAATCTTATCTATTTTATAATATAAATTAATATTACCATATAAATATCACCATAACCTGCTTCTTTTAATGTTTATCTAATCATATCTTCTGTTACATTTCTATTTAAATGATCTGCATAAATATATTTAGAATATATATTATTATCTCTTTATTATTTTCTATCTTTTTTAGTCTATGCCCATCCTACATACATCTTTCTGCCAGTATTTAATGGATCCTTCTATTAATTTGTTCCTAAGGTAGTACCTAAAGTTCTTTGAGCTTCTTTTGCATCTTGATATCTACTGAAACTCAAAAATGCATATGGAGCTTTGCGTTCAAGATCTATTTTCACTAATACACTTATAATTGAACCATATGTACTAAACCATTCATTCAATTTTGTACGCATTTCACTTTCCTTTTTACAATTAATTTACTATAAATACCAATTATTCTCTAACTTAATTGTTTTCCAAATCAAAACTATCCAATGAAGTCCAAAAATTCTTTATGTATAAGTTACTTCTCTTATCCTCACGTTCACTTGTACCTTTTTTTACAAATCGTTTCACAATTATTGATGTTTTTTCATTGTATTTCACTGTTCCTTCATTTAATTAACTCTCAGTCAATAATTAATTGGCTTACTCCTTCTTCTCATATTAGACCCAACCATAACCTATTTTATTTTTAAATATTATTACCTCTACTCTTTTTATTTTCATCGACTGATAATTTCACACTTACCACTTGTCCCCATTTTGAGAAAAATTCTTCAAGTTATTTCAGTGTTACATTTAACTCGAATCCTGCAAAGAATAAGTTTGCATCTTTCTCATAATCCTATATGTAGGTTATACGTATTGGCTCTCTAAGAAGCTATTTATAATTCATGGCTTCTTTTGCTTTTCTTGCTTCTTCTTATGTTGAGAAATAGATAAAGGCATAGTGCTTTGATTTTCCAATAAATGGATATCTAATTTTATTCAAACTATATACCTATGCAATTTAACAAAGCTTATCTATCCATATTTTCTAAATTCGACATAAAGTTATTCCTCTGTTATTCCATCTTCCAAATCTGCTATGTGTAATCCATTTTAGGAAGGTCTGTTCTAATCCTAATAACCGGGAAACTTAAACACTAAATCAATGAAACTAATATGCTACTTTTTTTCTGGATTTTATATTCAAGATTTAAAAATTCTTTTAATTTTTTGCGCGTATGTTTTTCTCCTATATTTTATAAAAATATTGCATCAACCAAAGTAGAATTAATATTATTATATTCTAAATACTAATAAATGCCATAATATCGATGAGATTTTAATTAATCAATAAATTTCCAAAAGAGATTGAATCCACTTATTTGAAGTATTTTGCTCTTAATTGAATACTGCAATATGTTATTCAGATTTAACCTTAAGAGCACTCTCTAATTCGCATTCACTCTCTTTTGTAGTAATACCATTACATTCTAAATGTCTAGTGTTGTTCTAGGTGATTTCATTTGAAATTTTATTTTTCGAAAATTGTATTTTTGGTGCATGAAATTTAGAAAAAGGATAAATAAGGATATCTAAAAATAAATTAGAAATTTTTAAGAGTATTAGATCTATTAAATAAATGTTGGAAACATTCTAAAAATATTAATATTGTTTTGTTACATTTACAATTTCAGTTATTATATTACAGCATATGAACAATTCACAAAATATGTAGAAACCTACTATTATATGTAATTCATTCCTAAGCGTCCCTTAAGGTTTGAAGTGACATAACAGACATAAGAATAATGTTATCAATCCAAATGCACCAGATCCCAAGACTGCAATACTTCTATTCAAACTGAATTAATCTTAAAATATCCTATTATTATCATGTAAATTAATACCAAATGTGAAAGGAGAGAAAATCAATTATTAATCCAATCATATATATTTAGAATACTACCAAAAATCCAATTTAGTGCTTATTTAACAATAACAATGACATTAGCAAACATAAGGATAATATTTAAAAGAGAATCAACATTAAATAATAGTAATCAAAGTTTTGTATGGTCAAAATAATCGACAAAGCACAAAAACTGATAGCTAATCCTATAGAGTGAGATTTTTTTATTTAAAATCTGTGTCTGTTGAAAATCATCACTATAAGTGTCAAACTAAGTAGAAATTACATGATTTTTAAGACTAAGGCTAGCCAATCAGTTGATAAGCTAATTTTATGATCGTAATTATACCTTTTTATTTTCATGCTAATATAAACCAATGAAATGATATTTGTAGTAATGTAAAATTAAGGTAGAGAGTAATGACATAAGACCTACATATGATGTTTAAATTTAATATAATTATTTTTAATATGAATTATAAGATATTACAATGCAATAAGAACCAAACAACCATTATATAAATTAAACTATGGTGTATTCCTATTATAAATCAATTTATAGTATAAGCAGTCTAACCTAATACTTCCTTGTTTTAAGTAACTTTTAAGCAATACTTCATATCTGATATCGATTAATTTATATTTAATTTTTAACATTTTATTTTACATAATATTTGATATCATTACTTAAGGTATTTTGTCAGCTTTACCATATTAACTTTATTCCAGTAATTATCTTGTCTTACTCTCACTAATTAGTCATTAATAATCTTTATCAACATTTGGTTGAATAATGTACCTAGGCTTCCTCTATTCTTTGTACTTTTAACCTTTTGTTCAATTTTCTTAATCTCTTATTTCAACTTTTTTATCGTATATTTTGACTACTTCCAATACGATTCAATTCGTCTATAATTATACTATATTAAAAATATTCTATTCTCTCTAATCTTTCTATTCTTTTGAGGTTTTATTTTTTCTGTTTTTACTGCCCATTCCAACTTAAATTATTTAAATGTTGTACTACTATACAACAATATTCCTAATTTAATTTATAGTTAAAAACTAGTTTTGTTCAATATTAATTACTTAATACTCAATCTTATAATTCAATTATGAATTATCAACCATTTATTAATATCCTTTTATATTTTAATATAATCCATAACTTCTTAAAGTTCTGGATGACTTTATTTTTAGAATAATGAATCTTCAAATTGTTGAATTCCATTTAAATTATTTTTTAGAATCCAAAAATAACATTTATTGATTTATTTGATGCATTTCTAATTAATTAATATCTCTAATATCTGTGCATAATTTTAAAGGATTTACAAGTTTTTTCATGATTAAAATTTTATGAATATAATATTAATTATAAATAGTTAGATTAAAACTAATCTACAATGATTCAAATATTCATTTTCTATTTTAATTTGAAAGGAATTGTATTTTTCTTTTTTAATATTCTACTTGCAATTTAGAAATTATTTATTAAATAAAAATGAGTCATTATTATTTTTGTTATTCAATCGAGGATATTGTTCTTTTTTCAATTAAAGTTGGATCTTCTTAAAATTTAATTATTGATAAATCAGATCATCTTCAACTCAAAATTATTTCTGTAACATATATTTATACAGTTAGTTAAAGTAAATAAATATAATTAATAAATATAGACTGAATTATATATATATATATATTTTCATGTTCTTAATTTGAGAAACATTCTCTTAATCATTCTAGCTTCATATGATACTGTATGTTTCTCATCAAGTTATTCTAATGGATTAATTACCTAAATAATAAATAATAGATATATACAGAAGGAATAGCCTTGCCATATTGATCAGCTGCATCTAAGAAATCCAAGATCTCACTGTATGATGTATCTTTAAGAATGATCATATGTTTTGCCAAGACTTCAATCAAAGCAAGGAAACATCTTTTAACATAATACCATGTATCTGTATTGATCTTTAATTAAATAAAGAATATACTTTCTTATTATATGGTTCGAGTGATTTGATAACTCTAGAAATACCAAATTCATAATTATTTTTTGAACAATAGAGTGTTCCTATAACTAAATTGACAATGCATAGATGATAAACAGATTTTTCAGGATCTTAATATTATGATTTTTCTTCTTCTTTTTCTAATTTCCGCATTAATTCTTCAGCATCTTCATTTTGATTAACCATGATATAACTGACACATAAATTAGCAATAACAATAGCAGTTAATGATAGTAGATTATCACCATTTTTTTTAACAATAGGTTCATAATAACGAATAGCTTCTCTATATTTGTTATCTTGAACATAAAATACATGTGCTACATTAAGTTTCCAAACATCGTGATCAGCACAAAATTCAGCAGATTATCGAAATAATTTTTCAACTTATGAATAATTGTCTTTATCCCAATATATTTTAGCTTATGCCATTAAAACAGGTATGAATTTTTCTAAACAATCATCGAATTCTTTAAGAGATTTTTTGATTCCATCATTATCTCTATTTAATCTAGCATCTTAAATAGATTTAGTAATTCTTCTAAGTGTATCAATATGTTTATTTGCTAAGATTTAGAATTTTCTATAAGATTCTTCTGGACTAGCAGCACTCAATATTAATGCATCAACAAATTCAAAATCATCAGAACTAATGGTTTTAAATGTAAGATCAGCATTTTCAGCAAGAATATCAGCAGCCATATCAAAATATCCATATTTACAATATAATAGTAATAGATTTGAGAATGTTTCTGGTGGAAATGGTGGATTTTATAATAAATGATTTAATTTTTTAAATCCTTCAGCAGTTTTATCTTCAATATTCATTAATGCTTAATTCATGAGTGTAACAGGATCTAATTCATCTTCTTCTCTTGGTGGCATATCTACTAATGCTTCTTTAGAGGCTTCATAATTTTTAATAGAATATTCAATAGCAGCTTTTAAATTAAATGCTTCAATTAAAGCAGATTCTTTCAATGCTTAAGAATTACCTACACTTTTAACTTCAATTCCTTCAGCATTAGAACCTACTCCTAAATCAGGTCTCTCTCTTACTCCTCTTTCAATTATTTCCGCTATAAATTTTAGAGATTAAGCTAATTATTTTTATTTGTAATAACAAAGTGCTATATTATAGGCTAATTCACATGAATAACCAGTTAAATTCATTCCATCTTAAAATCTTTGTCTTGCTTCATCAAATTTATTCTCCTTAAATAAAATACATCCTTCATTTATAATTGAATCTGGATCATCCATTTCATTTTATTTCAATAATGTCTTTGCATGTTGAAATTCACTCTTCTCATATCGAATCAATGCTTACAATTATACCATCTTCCCTTAATATTATGGATTCTCTATAGATGCACATACTTTTAATGCTTCATCATAAAGACCTATTTTTCAAAATCTTTTCTTACTATCCTTATAATATGATTGTGCTAAGTAAATCTTATAATCATCAATCTCAGGATAATACTTCACTAATTATTCATAACTATTTTATCTAATCTATCTCATACATTCCAACAGCAGAAGTAAAATCTTAATTCATATAATGACAATATGCTAATAATGATAGTGCTCTACTCTTTGGACAAAATTGCAACTCATAATTCAAATAATTTATAGCCTCCTTGTACTTTTAATCCTTTATTAATGTATATATTATTTTTGTTCGCTACCCTTCCGCTATTGGTTAAACCGGTTGCATTATTTAATTTAAGCAATTTATGAACAAAAAATACACACATTTATAGGGTTGGGAAGAATACTCTATCTCCAATACACCTACTAATTATCTCAAACTATTAAGTGAATCACTCAATTATGTTAACACTTCATAAACTCATTATTATCCCAAGTCTCATCAATCAGTCTCACCTAAAAAACATAGAATTTTTCAAAGTTATATTAAAAACTCTGTTATTATTAATCATGGTAATGCTATATCCTAAAAATAACATTACTTATAAGGTAATTTTATCAAAAAAGCTTAATTCTCTCCAAAAAGATAATTAAAACATTGCTACATAGGTCCCATTTTATAATAAATTAAAATCTATTAGAAAAATAAAAAAATTGGTTAAAATGATTCAATTATCAAACAAATAACAAGATGAACTTCATGAAATTACTTAAAACTTTCATTTTGTTTAAATTAATATATAATAATCATAAAATTTATTGACTTAATAAAATTAAAATAAATGTATAAACATTATAAATCTCTTTTATTTTATTTTAATTGTTTTGGTGTAATGATAATATGTTTAAGAAAATAGTTTGGATGTGTTATTATGATTAATTATTTTTATAATTTATATTAATATCTTGAAAATGAAATAATCATCAAAAGGAATTTTGAAAAAGAATTCACAACATGATATAGATATGTAATGAAATGAATTTTATTGTAGGAAGAAAGAATTACATTGGGATGAACATACATTATAGTAAAGAAATATATTACTTTAATTAGATAATAAGATTTAGAGAGAGGAAATAAAACTAAAATAGATGAACCTAAAACACCATATGAAGATGATATAATATAGCAAAATCAATAGGAAGATAAAATTGAAATGGAAGATGAAATAGAGCAAGATTTAATATAAGCACAATTGAATAAATAAAAATTGCAGCAAGTAAATTCCAGCTCTTAAAAAGTAGTAACAAAAAAAGAAACTGGATATTGAAGAATTGAATTAAAGATTAAAAGAAGATTTAGAGAGAGAGAGAAAAAATATGGATGAAGATTCATCAGAAGAAGAAGAAAAGAGAAAAAAACATGAAGAATTTGTTAAAAAAAGAAAATAACACTATAATGAGAAGAATGTAATAAAGGATGCTATGCATAAAAAATAGTTTGAGGATTAATGAATTATATAAAATTTAATATAAAAATCATTTGGATATAATTTGATTTCCAGATAT